CCACAACGCCCGGCTATTTTTTGGTTGCAGCCGTCATTGTTGTTTTGGCGGGTCCGGGCTGGGGATTCGAACCCGACACCTTAGGTGTACATGGCTGGTGCCTTAGCCGGTTGAGCTATAGGCGCCAAGCCCAGTTATTTTTTTGTTGCTGTTGTCATTGTTGTTTAGCTGGCTGGGGCTGGGTTCGAACCCACCAGCCTTGGTGTATGTGGCTGGAGCCATAACCACTGTGCTATGGGTACTGAGCCACAGAATTTTTTTTCTTTTTCTAGGTGGAGTCTCGCTCTGTCACCCTGGGTAGAGTGCTATGGCATCACTGTAGCTCACAGCAACCTCAAACTTTTGGGCTGGAGCAATCTCTTGCCTCAGCCTCCCAAGTAGCTGAGACTACAGGCATTCAGAATACATTCAGCTAGTTTCTTTTTTCTTTTCTTTTCTTTTTTAAGACAGAGCCTCTGTCGCCCTGGGAGAGTGCTGCAGCATCACAGCTCACAGCAACCTCCAGATCCTGGGCTCAAGCGATTCTCCTGTTTCTGCCTCCCAATTAGCTGGAACTACAGGCACCTGCCACAACGCCTATTTTTTGGTTGCAGCCGTCACTGTTATTTGGCGGGCCTGGGTTGGGGGTTGGATTCGAACCTACCAGCTCAGGTGTATGTCGCTGGCGCCTTAGCCGCTTGAGCCACAGGCGCAAAGCCCCAGCTAGTTTTCCTATTTCTTATAGTGACAGGGTCTAGCTCTTGCTCAGGCTGGTCTTGAACTCCTGAGTTTAAGCAATTCACCCACTTTGGCTTTATAGAGTGCTAGGAATACAGATGTGAGCCACTGCATCCAACAGGAAGGAATTTTTTTTTTTTTTTTTTTGAGACAGTCTTCACTTTATCACCCTCAGTGCAGTGCGTGGCATCACAGCTCACAGCAACCTCAAACTCTTGGGCTCAAGCAATCCTCTTGTCTCAGCCTCCCAAGTAGAGAGACTACAGGAGCCCACCACAGTGCCTGGCTGTTTTTTAGAGATGGAGTCTTGCTCAGGCTCATCTCGAACCTGTGAGCTCAGGCACAGGTTTGGCCTCCCCGAGTGCCAGGACTACAAGCGTTAGCCACCTCGGCCAGCCTAGGAAGGGATTTTTTTTAATGTCTCTCATGCTTGCAGAACAATCAGAAATCAGAATTTGTTTGTGGCAGCTAATCGAATGATCTAAATAGCAATAATACTGAACATTTACTAGAAGTTTGACAATAGTACTTATAAATATAGAATTTATCTACCCACAAGGTAGATAGTTTGTCTCTATTTTACAGATAAGGAAACTGTGGCTCAAACAGGTAAAGTAATTTGCTCAAAGTGACATCTATTCTGCACACTTCTGCCATACCTGACTGCCTCTTATCTGAGCTGGAACCTCACTGTCTTATGTAATAGCACCCCACCTGTGATGCCCTGGTGAATGGGATGCAATGACTTCCGCCGATTCGTTCCTTTCATACTTGCTCGCCGCCAGGACTGCCTCCTATCTTGATGGGTAGATTGCTCTTGTGGAGACAAATGAAGGGATCTTGACTGAAGTCCTTCCTGGTGGCTGGGATCACAACTTTCCCCTTTTGTGAGGCTAGAGTCAAGGCAAATTCTTTCCTTTGAAACACCTTGAGTCATCTCCGGGTTGGCAGATGATTTAGTACACACTTCCACAGAGCTGAGACTTGATTCCACTTGATGATCATGAGTCTTAGACATCACTGGTTGTTCTAGCATTTATTACAAAGAAGTCAAAATACAAAATTCAAACCCACCACAACTAAGTATCTGTGCAAAAAGGTGGAAAAAGAAAGTGAAGAAAACACTTCCCCCAGATCATGGAAACACTGAAGAAGCACCTCTACAAATACATGACTATGTAATTCCAAATCCACCAGGAACCAAGAAAAGATTTGAATATGGCTCAGAAGCCTAAATCCAAGGCAAGAGATACTAAATTACGCTACAACACTTACCTTCCATAATCTCTGATCTAGTCACTGACGTCATCTTGGGCGGGGAACTGTGAAAAAAGGAAAATGAGGTGATCTGTTCTTCACATTTTAGCTCCACTCTCAGTAGAATAGCACCCACCATAGGCCTTGTGCTTTCCAGCCTCTGTGAAGTGCCCTCACTCACCTCTTCCACAGAGAATATCTATTAGTGGTCAGTATCTCTTCTGAATTTCTACAGAACTTATGGCTAGAAATATTCACATCTCTCTTAACACACACTATATCTTATTTCCCAATTATTTTGTGTGTAACTCGTTCCTAATTTGCTAATTCATTGACAACATTATGACCTACTTGGTCTTCCAAATTAGAAAAACCTTGTTATCCTTTACTTATTCTTAGCTCTCTAGATCCAAAATCCTATCCATTCCACCAGCAGTCTCTTTATAATCTTTTCTTCATTCCCACTGTCACTAGTTTCCTTCAGTTCTCACAATTTCTGCTCCCCTCTCCTACTACAAGTCTCTCCCTTAGTTTTCCTACATCCAATAGCTCTTTTCCAATCAATTCTTTTTTTTTTCTGGCCCGGGCTCAGTTTGAACACTACATCTCTGGTATATGGGGGCCACACCCTACTCCTTTGAACCACAGGTGCCACCCTTGGATCAATTCTTTAGACACATGCAGAGATTTTTCTACCTGCTATAAGCTAGTCCCATCTATTTCTGCTCTCTCCTGCCACTCCTATTCCCTATACTATTTTTTTTCTTTTGAGACCGAGTCTCAGTTTCTTGCCCCTGGTAGAGAGCTGTGGCTCATAGCTCACAGTAACCTCACTCTTGGGCTCAAGCAATTCTCTTGCCTCAGCCTCCCAAGCAGTTGGGACTACAGGCACCTGCCACAACGCCCAGCGATTTTTAGAGACAGGGTCTTGCTTTTGCTCAGGCTGGTTTCAAGCCTATGAGCTCAGGGAATATACCTGCTTCGGCCTCCCAGAGTGCTGGCATTATAGCCATGAGCCACCATGCCCAGCTTTTTTTTTTTTTTGAGACACAGTATCATACTGTGCCCCTGGCATTTTTAATCTCCTCTATGGGTAGAGTGCTGTGGTATCCTAGCTCACACCACCTTAAACTCTTGGGCTCAAGTGACCTCTCTGCCTCAGCCTCTCAAGTAGCTGGGACCATAGGCGCCTACCACAATGCCCAGCTAGGGTCTCACTTTATCACCTAGGCTGGTCTCAAACTCCTAGCCTCAAGAGTTCTGGAGCAACTGAAATTGCAGGTTCAAGCCACGGCACAAGTCTCCCTATACTATTTTTTTTTTTTTTTTTTTAGAGACAAAGTCTCATTTTGTCACCCTTGGTAGAGTGTCATGGTGTCACAGCTCACAGCAACCTCCAGCTCTTGAGCTTAGGCAATTCTCTCGCCTCAGCCTCCAGAGTAGCTGGGACTATAGGCGCCTGCCACAATGCCCGGCTAATCGTATACTATTTTTGAATCTTTGCACACATCTGTTCTTCTACTTGTAAAACTTTCCAATCACTTCACTTTGACAGAGTTGGTGGCTACAGGCTACACCCCTTGGTCTCCCTAGCATGTGTCTCCCCAGCAAAACCAATTAGTATTTCTGGTGTCTGTCACAGACAACTGACTGAAAGAGGGCAAGAATGTGACTGGATTTCTATCTTCCACGCCACCCCGCCTTCTCAGCAGAAATCTGTCTGTGAGGGTGCTTAGTACAGAGAAATGAACAGAATAACAGAAGAACATGGAAAAGGTAACAATGAGGAGTGGTTGGTCAAGGATCTCAGTCCTCACTGTCCTTACGATTGTATCGTACAGACTGAAGTCTGGATAGTAAGAGCAACAACTGTCATTTGTTAAGAATTTACTATATGCCAAGACCTGTGCTACGCAAGCATCTTACTAGCATCATCATCCCACCTGATCCTTTCCATAATTCCATAAACACTACTAACTGAAAGATGGTCTTACTAATAACATGTCTAACAAGAAAATAAGTTATCAAACAGAAAACAAGAGAAACAAGTTCACAGTACAATTACCCTTCGTTTAATTAAAATACTTGTGACCTAACTCCTTATCACTAAGAGTTCACAGCCTTGAATGGTCCCTGAGTAGACAGGAGTGTGAGCTATCCGCTTCTCCTGTACCACATCCCTTTTGCTATAAAAAAGGAACTAATTTCTGTTATCAATTTGTTATATGAGAAAAGAAATCCAACACAGTGGCTTCACGCTCACTTTTGTTAACAATACCCTGAAGCAAACAAAGGGAGGGGAGGCACACTGTTGCCCTTTAAAAACATCAGCTGCTCTTCCTGAACCACCTTTCACTTTTTCCCTTCCTTCTTACCGTGGGACCTCTCTCAATCTCTCTGTATCTCTTTCTTTCTTGGAAAAATAAACTTTTTTTTCTTTTCTTTTTTTTTTTTTTTTGAGTCAGAGTTTCACTATGTTGCCCTCAGTAAAGTGCGCTGACGTCACAGCTCACAGCAACCCCAAACTCTTGGGCTTAAGCGATTCTTTTGCCTCAGCCTCCCAAGTAGCTGGGACTACAGGCGCCCGCCACAAGGCCTGGCTATTTTTTGGTTGCAGTTGTCATTGTTGTTCAGCAGGCCCGGGCCGGCTGGAACCCGCCAGCCTGATGCATGAGGCCAGCGCCTCACTCGGTGAGCTACGGGCACCCAGCCAATTTTAAGAATTCTTTCTCCACCCGTAGGGAGCACCTAATAAGTTTCCACCCTTTCACTAACTCCATTTTGCAGACAGGGAAACAGGTTCAAAGGGGCAAAAAGCCGGGCCCAAGACCGTCAAACAGCCAGCCTGGGGGCAGAAGCGAAATTCGAGCCCAGGCCTGTACCTCCAACCTCAACCACTTTCTGGAGTCTAGTCCCCTACCTCTGCAGACAGGCCCCTAACGAGGAGCGTGGCTTTCCCTAGGGTTTTATTTCATCCGGGAGGTCTAAGCGCTCCCGGTACTCACGAGGGTCCGCTGTCAGGGGCAGTGGGAGCAGCGATTCACGCGGGGCCCAAGGGGTACGCGGCCAGAGGCTGGTGCGGGGGGGAGCAGGGCCATATTATGGGAGAAGTCTGAGACTTCCTGACCTCAGAGCGACGCCTGTGCAGTCCCGGGCCACAGGTCACTCTCCGCGGCCCCAGCGGCCCCTCGCGCTACCGTGGCGGGTCCTCCCCGGAGCAGGTAGGGTGTGGGTCCGCCACCCACGCCAGAGTCGCCTGGTCCAAAACTCCCGCCAACCCAGGGCGCTTGCGCGGCCTCCGTTTTCTCGGGCACACGCACGCAGTACGCCCGCCTCCAGCGATGCGCATGCGTACGCCGGGGTCACGGATCTTGCCTGCTCCGCCTCTTTTCGGAGTACTTTGCGGTCCCCATGGCTATGTCACCACCTCCCCCGCTACTCCCCTCGCCGTAATATCGAGTCTTTTGCGTCCCAGGGTCCTCAAAGCCCATCTAAGTCGAGGAAAGAGCCAGAGGGATACTTGCCGAAGGAATATAGCGCATCAGAGGGCATCTGATACCCTGCCCTGTCACTAAAGGTTATCGTTATCTTCCGTCCCTTTATCTTCCTCGCTCCAAAACCGTGAGACCCGTGACTCCTACCAGGGTGGACTGGAGTTCAGAGTTCAGTTTTGCCTCAGCCTAGCCCAAAGCTTTAGGACTTTGTGTCTTTTTACGGCGCTTTCAATTCACAACAAAGTTCATGAGCTTTCCTTTCCAGGAGCCTCATACAGGCCATCTATCCTCAAACTTGCTTAAGCCGTTTGCTCTCCTTCGGAAGCCCTTCCCAGCTGTTCCTACCAAAATTCTCCAATTTTAAGCCTTACCTATCAAATCATCTTTTTCAGAGCCTCCTCCGTGGCTCCAGACTGAAAATCAGGTGTCCCTCTGTCCTCCTTGTAAGCTGTGCCTGTTCCACGATCCCTTTGGCTCTGGAGGGCCTCCAGACAACAGGCTGCTTCCTCAGCACCTAACTTGGTGCCACCAAAATCTCCCTTTGGATTTCCACAGTCTTTTCTTTTAGATCTGAAACCTCCAAATGTTGAATTAAGTGCAGTTACAAAGTCCGAAAGAGAGGTTAAGGAGAGGCAGGTGGAGCTGACTGTAGTAATTCTTCCACAGAAGTTGTGGTGCTTGGAAAAGTTTTCTGACAGGAGGCTGAAATCTGCCTTCCTGAAATTTCCACCCTACAGTTTCTAACTCTGCTGGCTCCAGCAACCATCTGAACACAGAAATTTGCTCTGGGACTCAGAGGTATGCTTGCGCTCTATGCTTGCCCTCCTCCTAAACTCTTCATTTGTTAATGTCCCAGAAACAGAACTCATTGTTCTCAGCTAGGGCCATGCTGGGGCACATTAAGATGATTACTTAATGGAATTCAGACCTAATAAATCCACTATGCCCTTTCCCTGCTTTGAATTCTCCTGTGGCGCCCTCCTGTCCCCCAGATGTATAAGATATATTCCCTGTGTGAATACATCCCCCAGATGTATAAGATATATATCCCTTATAAGATATAAGGCACTGTGTGATATGACCCAGCCTCTTCTTTGAGCTCCCCACTTGAGCTCCACTGCTTTGAATTCTCCTGTGGCGCCCTCCTGTCCCCCAGATGTATAAGATATATTCCCTGTGTGAATACATCCCCCAGATGTATAAGATATATATCCCTTATAAGATATAAGGCACTGTGTGATATGACCCAGCCTCTTCTTTGAGCTCCCCACTTGAGCTCCGCTGTCTTTCTACTAGGTTTCTTTCTTTCTTTTTTTTTTTTTTGGTAGAGACAGAGTCTCTCTTTATTGCCCATGGTAGAGTGCTGTGAAATCACACAGCTCACAGCAACCTCCAGTTCTTGGGCTTAGGAGATTCTCTTGCCTCCCTCTCCCAAGTAGCTGGGACTACAGGCACCCGCCACAACGCCCAGCTATTTTTTGGTTGCAGTTCGGCCAGGGCCAGGTTTGAACCCCCCACCCTTGGTATATGGAGCTGGCATCCTACTCACTGAACCACA